ACAGAGGAGGTATAAATACATCTCTGTACGGATTTACTGTGACACCCCTCCCCATTCTCTTGCTCTCACACACACACACACTCTCGCTCACATGCATTGCAACCTCCCCTGCCGCACTAAGCAGGTATAGATCTCATTTTAGAAACCAGAAAACTGAGTTATAAAATGGATAAAGAGTTTCTGAGAATGTCTTTGGAGGAGGCAAATCTGAAATCCTGTTTATTTGACTAGCAACACAAAGAAGTTGGCTGTGAATGGCATTCACAGCAAAGAATAACTAATTCCTCATCCTGAGGACATTCTGTCGTGAAATAAGTGTTGCAATTATTAGTGCATCCAGTGGCATCAGTAAAAAGTCACAATAGAGAAGCCTACAGGAAACTATGCTGGAAAACTTAATTTGCATTAATCACTAAATTACCCCACGCAAACCTATCTGCAATAACAGCTCTCCACTCCTGCCTTGAGAAATCTTAAAAGAAATTGATTTAAATTTTATCTCTTTCTCTTTAAGATTTGTGTTTTGTCACTCCAGGTTTACCGTAGAAGTAATCTGAATCTGCACCATGTAAATTAACTGGACTTAACTACAATAAATCTAAGAGAAAGTATCTATAAGTAGAAAAGAAGCCGTATCAAACTTCTCGCTTTTGCAGACATTGGGAATAGCAGCAACACTCCAGCCCTGAACGTCACCTAACTTCATCTCTTCCCCCATGTACATTCCTATGAAATAATTCTTTCTATTAACATCGGGAGATAGCTAGACAAGTTCCTATCTTCCTCATGTTCCTGAACAGTATCCCTTCTCAGTCTCATGTATGTTATGGGAAAGTACTGATTTATAAATGCTTTCACAAAGTGTTTATGCTAATCATATGCCTTTTACTGAATTTAATATTCATCTCTTCTTATACCAAAAACTATTGGAAATACAAAAACGTGTCGTTTAAAAATATTCTTAAAACACCCACAGTCAGATTCCTGTGCTAATTATTAGAACTTACTCCCCAACCAGACTGTCTCAAAACTTTAATTTAAAATATTTTCACTTACCAATTTTTGTTGAAAGAAATTAACTCAGCAGCTTTTTGGTATCAGAAGGAACCATCAAAACGTAACACAATACACTGTTTTTCGACAGACTAACAGTAGCACCAAGTGTGATCTTCCACTCTTCCATTCAAAAAAGTGTTAACGCAAAAGCCTAAATATTGTCATTACACTTAAATGCGAACATTATTGACCTCTCCACAGCCAATGTTCAGTCTTTCTAAGGATAACGAATGCACTTGCATCTATTCTAGATGTTCTAGAGTAAGGCTGTGAGGTTTTATAACTCTGCAAGTAATTGCTAATGATTTTGCACATGCAACAACTCAGCATTTCACTTACAGCCCCATCTTGCAAAGCGCTGTGGATTTCTAGAGGATCCTGTGCAGATGCATCTTCCACAGAGCCAACATGTCTCGTACATAACTGTAACTTCACCTGCTCTCCCTGAGAGTGCAATGGCTCAATTCTGATCCCTCCCAAGCAAGTAGGAGTATGAAATCCCACACGGGCATTGCGCAAGAGGCATTTAGATGTAATGCATGCAGGATGTGGGTCTATGTCCAGAATAAACTGAAAATTTTAAAATTACGTTCAGTACAAATAAAACATGCCTTCATTAATTCTAAAGGGAACATGTTTCTGCATTTGTCCTTGAGGCAGATTTCTTGAGCGCAAGCAAAGGATGCTCTTTGAAAAAAGTTCTTTCAGGCAATGTCTCCCTCTACGCTGCTGGCTCTCTGACGGAAAATACACCCGTGTTCGGGGAAGAGGCGGCTGTATCTGCACTTGTACTTATGTACGAGGCTGAGTTCATTGATTTCGGCTTGCAATGGGTCTCTCCCCTATCCAGTGGTGTCTGCCTGCTTACAACCCCTTCCACAAGCGCTGCCCACAACTTATGAACTTCAGGATGAAGTTCAGCCGCAGGAAGCTGAAAACTGTGTGGAGGATTTTGTCTGGGCCTCTTAAAATCTATAGCTCAGGAAAAGAATCCACAAGCCAAAACACCGAGATGAGCTTTCAGAGAGAACAAGGTAGTTTATACAGAGACATCTCTTTGTGACCCCTCAGGGACTTGCTCACAAACTCTCCTTAGGCCCTGACTTATGGCAAACGAGGAGAGGAACTTAAATACTGCAAACCTTTGAAGAACAGTTTCTCCCCTTTCACGGCAGAGAATCCACTTCCAGAGAACAACTACCTATAATGATGCAGCTGCAATTCAACTCTTAAGATATCAAATACAATTCCAGTGCCGGCAGCAGCTCACCTGCTCAGGAGCCCTCACTCTTGCCAGATGTGCAGGGCACACCTGCCTGGGGAGGCTGCGGGAGAGCTGTTTCAGGGCACAGGACCATCGCGCTTCCCCCTGCCAGAGCTGTCCCGGCACTGCCTGTTCGGGAGAGTACTGGGGAGCAGTTTGACCCCCAGCTGAGATGAAACGGGACCTGCTGCCGCCCCCCCCCCGCGTATCTCCATGTACCGTACCAGCACCGCTGATATTATCACCTTCTCTCAGACCTGCGGGTTCTGGGGCTGCTTCTCACAGAGGCAGGAGCAGGCACACTCCTACCGAAAGGGGAACAGCGCAAACAGGAGAACGCAACGCCACGAGTTGGCCAGATTTCACCAGAAACGTTATGGAAAGAGTTGAGCTGAGAGAACTAAACACATCGGGTTCTCGTTTGCAAAGTGATCACCCCCCGCTCCGGCACGGCGGCTCCCGAGCTGAGGGGAGCGTGTGTGGTGCCAGGGCCTCACCACACCGACCAGGGGCCGGCCGGGCGCAGGGGCTTCCCTCTGCGGGAGGCAGCGCGCCT